TATTAGTGTAGGTAAGTAAATATGTTTATTATAATTTGTTAGGTCAAATGTATTGATGTTAAAATGTTATTTAATTTTAATAGTAATGTATTACCTACTGTTTCTTTCTTTGACAGTTAATACAATTTTTATTACATAAACTGAACATAGCTTACAAGCTTTTTTCTGGTAATTGTCAATGATGTGATGTACCTAATTAATCAAAGAATACAAGTATACAACAATTAAATTTGTATTGAAACACATCATCACATTTGTCTTTGTAACAGTATATAATAATAGTTATTAATAAACAAAAAAATATATTATTTTTAATTAATAATACTTAATGATAATGATTAGGTATTATTTAAACGTTTTTTTTATAATAATTATTATTAAAAAACATTTAAATAAAATAATAATATAGAACATTTTTAAATTTTAATAGTAGGTATAGTAATAGTATAGTATATAATAATAGTAATAATAGTAACTAATGGTATAGTATATAATTTAAACATTTTCCTTTGTCATAATATTTAAGTAATAAAAGAAATAAAATATAACTAATACTTAATAACAATTAATAATAATTATTGTTTAAATAATGTCAGTTTCATTTATAAAGAACCAAATAATATTATAGATGATAAAAAATAATTATAAAAACATTTTAATAAAATAAAAAGAACCTACATTATACATCAATTTGAATTGTAATGAAGGAATAATATCATATTCACTTTTTCATTTTTTAATCTACAGCGGCGATCATTTAGCACTAATCCGGCACTAGAGAAAACTCTCTCACAGGGTACAGATGTACCAAGAAAACATAATGTATTCCGGGCCAAAACACTCAAATGTGGATAATTATAGCTGTGGTCTTTCCACCAACTTAATGGATCTTGACATCTTGGAATTATTGAATCCTCTAAGTAACGCTGAACTTCAACAATAGCTCTGGATTTTGCAGTTCCGATGTGTGTAGATTTAGCGACACAACTATCAATATCATACCATATAGATAATTGTTCACTGTTGGAATGTACCAACGTTTCTGTTTCATACGATCTTCTGTCTTCTTCAGTATATTTGCTATGAATAATTTCTGAAGTTTTCTCAATGACGTCATGTTTTGTAGTATTCATTAATGTTGTGCTATGACTAAATGGTATATGTTTAAAGCGTGGATCAAGAAATGTACATCGTGCAAGAGTTCCACTTTTTTCCGAATGTTTAAATGCATCTCTTGAATTCATGTTTGATAACAATTGTTCAGCCACCTTTAAAACCCTTTGTGTCAGATCCATTTTCAATAAATTGCTGAATACATTGAAGAGTCCCTGAACAATCACAATAACAAGTGATGCTGTCATGTATTTTTGCCCACTGATAGCTTTAGTAGCTTCTTCAAAGGGCTTCAATACTTTTATAAGCTCCTGTAAGATGATCCATTCTTCTGGCCTAATATTGTCTGGAGCATTATTTATTTAACCCAACGTACCTCGAATTGAAGTTTCCAACTCAACAAATCTACAAATCATGTAGTAAGTGGAATTCCATCTAGTTTGTATATCTTGTATTAGTTTTTTTGGATTTTTTACACCATTGTTAATTTGATTGGTTTTTAATGCATTATTAGCTACTGTACTTTTTCTGAAATGAGCAACTATTTGTTTAACTCTGTTTATTAGATCTTCTTCTAATCTGAGTGCTGACTGGACTATCAAATTCATGGTATGCGCAAAACAACCCATATTCTTAAAACCTAAAGTATTAAGGGCATTTTTAATATTATAGGCATTATCAGAAACAGCAAATGTAATTTTGTCGAATAATTCCCAAGATCTCAAGACACGTTCAATTTCTTGTGCAAGGTTGGATGATGTATGGCTCAAGTCAAACGGATGGCATTCTAGAAGTATAGATTTCAATTTAAACTCATTATCTATGAAATGTACTGTAATTGCCATAAAACTTTCATTATTTCTGGACGTCCAGCAGTCGGTGGTTAAACAAGCACTTTCAACAGTTGATGTCAAACTTTTCATCTCTACTAAACATTTCTGATACAAAGCTGGTATGTGTTCTTTTGAAATTGCATGACGGTTAGGTAATTCATAGTTAGGATTCAATACTTTTACAAATTGTTTAAACCCTGAATCTTCAACAATCTTAAAAGGTTGAAAATCATTTATAAAAAGTTTCATAAGTGTTTGATCTATATTTTTTTTTGCATCTACTGTTAGTTTTCTCGGCAAATAACCAACAACAGATGTTTGTTTTCTTTTCCGGATTGAACTTGAAGCTTGCATAATGGAAAAAACATTTGACGACGACGATGATGATGGTGTGCATTGAGTGGATACAATTTCAGACAATGGTGTGGGTTCGGATGGTTGTAAAGAAGAACTAGGCTCAGAAATTATTGCAGGGTTATCAATATTTTCACTTTCATTATGAATCTAATGTAAAAATAAAAAAACAAAATTAAGTAATTATAATGTTTTGTTTTTTTAATTTTTTAATTCTCTAGTTTGATTTACAAATAATAATAAATATGAAAAATAAAATTCTAATATTTAATGTCTATATAAATTATTAAAAAAAAACAATTCAAAATTACAGTTGTCTTACTAGCTTAGTGTGTTATTTTATTTTATTATAGGTACTTATTGTTAATTTTCAATGTTTTATTTTGAATATGTTCTGTTTTATATTTTGGGTTTTTTAATTTTACGACTGAAATTAGTTTATAATATATATTATCTTAATAACTTAAGGCGACTGTAATTTTATTATAATTTTATCTTACGTTTTTGTAAATAAGAATAAATAAATATAAATCCATGGGTTTGTACTTACTGTATTTGTGTTTGAAGACATATTTATTGAATGAACACCAGCTAAATGTTTTTTGAGATTGGTTAGTGTAGAATGGTAAGAATATTTTTTTAAACACTGATCACATTTAGCAATTTTTTTATTTTGATCAAACACCGTAAAATGGCTCCATACATTACTAGTACGTCTATCCATAATGTAAAAACTATTTTATTATTGATCAGAAAAAAATTTGTATACAAAATATAATAGTTTCCAATTAGGACTTAGGCACACTTTACACTCAATAACGTCACACAATGAGTTAAAGAATAATAATGACAAAAAACAAAATTAAGACAATATTATGATCAACTTTATATAGATATACACAGGAGTCAGGAATGACAGGAATAAACATGCGCATTCAGTCTTGAACCAATTTAAAACATGAAATATATTTTTTTTTTTTTCTAATACAGATATTACTTATCCCTATACGGCTCTATTAAATTATATATTTATATATATAATATTTTTGCAACATGACTGAACAAACAAATTATACTTAATTTAATTGTAATATATTTTCCCTATCCAATATTTTCATTATCAAATAGTCTTGTTCCCTAAATTATTTATAATATAACATATAAT